TAAAAGAGAGAGAGAGAGAGAGAGAGAGAGAGAGAGAGAGAGAGAGAGAGAGAGAGAGAGAGCAAAGGAGCAAAAAGGACAGAGAGTGTACCCTATATCCTTCTATTGCGATCGTTAACCTTTCTATCAATGCAAATCCAACCCATGCCCAAATCACAAAAACGCACAAAGTAAAGTTAACACTTGAATTAAAAATAATCAGAACTCAGGAAAGAGAAGGATGTCAAGGACAAAAAAATATTCCGTTTCAGCCGGAGCATAAATGACAAAGAAACAGAATATTGTTACAAGATACACTATTAACGATAAGGTACCCTTGATGTAGAAAAGCGGTGCTCTCCCAAAAAGGTGGTTCGGTCAGTAATAATATTCTCACTATCTCATGGAAATAGCAAACCATGTACAACCATAAAAGACTGAAATCAGACCAGAGGAGCCACTGACATGAATTATGTGGCATCGTGGTGAAATCAGCTGCTCGTCAGAATAATGAAATGGGTGGAAGGAACCGACATTCTTCTGCAGGTAGAAATTTTTATCCGTATCATATTTTTTATTTCTCTCTCAAAACTTGTTATGTTCATTCAAAAACATAATTTCTTGGAGGGTTTTGATGAAAAACGTTCATCAAAGGCACACAACATTAACTAAGATTCTCAAACTTTAGACGTCACCAAACTTTGGTGACCCCCTTCTTGGAAATTTGTCCTCTACCACCAGGTGACCCCAAATTACCTTCAATCACAAATATGTCGACTTCTGTTCACCATAAATGGACTTTTTTTCATCAAAAGCTCCTCAAATAAACAAACTTTAAGATGGCATCAACAACTACACGTTATTATACTGTCAAAACCTTGACGAGCGCCTGATTTCATCGCGTAGCGGCACAACTCTTATTGTCTGGGAAAGGAAGGAACCTAAGGTTCTACGGCAGGTGATATGCCAACCTCCCGACTCCATAAAATTTCTTCTCACTTAGACCAGGTCGTTACGACCTTGAGGAATTAATGTCGTTGTCGGCTAGGAACGGATGGAAAAGAAACTGGGAGACCTCTTCAGAATAATGCTCCTTTCAGCAGAGAAGGTGATGTCATCCAAGAGGCAGGTTTTACCTGTTACTAATGTACCTTACTTTTTCTAGAAAACATAACAATTTGCACCATGTCAATACATTTTTACGTAACCAACAAATTATTGGCACCAAAATCAGGACACGGAAAAAAACAACGACAAAGAAAAAAGAAGAACAAGAAAAAAGTACCTTACAGATGATCATAACATGCTGTGTAGAAACCGTTACAGGAACCGAAGAGGTCTCGCAACACTTTTCCCCTGCCCTAGCATGACAAAGTTCTAGCAGCTCAGAACCAAAATTAGAGAAATCTGAAGTTAAACATTTTGAGTTTCACAACATGGTCAAGCTTTTTCGACTGCATTTCTTTGAATATCTTGATGACAATTCCGAACAATCTTACAATATTGATTGAGCACGTAGGTAGAACATTTGGTTTCTGACCTCATGGTCTTCATAACTCAAAACGGCCAAAATGTCAGATAGAACTTTGTAATTCTGAAATAGCGTGTTGTGGGGATTGGGGAAGAAGCCACAGAGTATTTTCTCATTGAATGCATGACCTGTTTCGGGCCCAGTGGCAAATAAAACTCATCCAGAATAAATCATCCTTTATTCAGTTAATAAACTGTTTTTGCCATTTGAAAGAACGACGTCTAGATATCTTATGCTTTAATATCCGCTTTTATCGCTTTTAAAATTTAATGTTAACGATAAATGTGTTGTGAATAGTTAGTTTACCAGGATGAGCTGGATTCTGAAGAAGTTACAGTTTACTAAACCGTGAGTCATGTGGGAAGCAGCCAGCAAAACGGGAAGAAAGAAATGAAGAGAGAGAGAGAGAGAGAGAGAGAGA